AGGGGGACGAGCCATTCATAGACTGCCAAATGTTCGAAATTCACCGTGTTGCGCAACCTCACACGACTGGTGTAGTAGGACTCACCCCCTTACAGGCGGTCGCTAGTAAGTCCTTACAGCAAGGACTTACTTGTAAGGACTTACTGGCGACCACCAGTAAGAAACGGTAGTGGGCGACTCCGAAAATCCCATTTCCCAATTTATACACGCACAAATCATCATTTGTGCACGCACAAATGGTGATTTATGTATACACAAATCCCGTGTACTTTGCATGCTTCTCCTCATGCGAAGTTGATTTGTGTATGACACAAATCTTCCGCTTGCGCATTTTCCATTGTAAGCCTCCAATCCTCTTGCCCCTTAAGCCCGCCACCAACCCATACCAAAACCATCTTTCGTGACACCCTTTCCTCGCCATCGACACCGAGTTACAATGTCCTCTCCCGCTGATGAAGACCCTCCTCATGCATCACCCCCTCAATCCAACAATGCAGCAAATCAAAACGCAAATGCCCCCGCCCACGCCTCTTTCCCCCACCCTTCCCGACCTCCCCATCGTTCCTCCTGCCAGTCACAACCCTCTCACCCCAACACCCTCATGCCATCCACTCACGGACCCCACACTCCTGGACAACAACACACGCTGCCCTTTGTCAATACCTGTCCTTCAGCCCCTTCCAGTCTCCCAGCGCCGTCTCCTGACTTCAGCGCTTCGACACCGAATGTACCCCCACCATCTCCGGTAGTTTTCATGTCCGAGCCAGATCCAACACGTCCTGCTGCGCCTGCAATTCATCAACGACCGCAAACGCCCCGATTGCCGCGACATGTCCGCCGTCCGCTCAAGCCCCACAAGAGAATATCGCGGAATGTGGAATCCGGCGAGAGAAGATCGCGAAATGCACGGGCTCCTGGTGGACGCGGTAGCGGCTTCACGCAGCAAGAGACCGACAATCTTCTTGAATTGTTAATAGAGCACCTACCGCTGTGCAGGGATGAGTGGGAAACAGTTTTGCGGCTTCACCGTGATCGTTACCCCGGAGTGGAGAGAAGTGTCGATCCAATAAGGCGAAAGTTTGGGGCACTCCATCGAAAGAGAGTGCCCACGGGTGATCCTAATATTCCACCAGATGTGGAGAAAGCGAAGCGTGTTTGGCAAAAAATGACGAAAAGAGCCGACATTGGCGATGCCGAGTTTACCGAAGACATTTTAGAAGAATCAATTCCTGATCATTCGTCAGGATCAGGTATCGCGCCGATATTTTGGACTGACGACGAGACAGAAGGTACGGGAGCTCTTACAACCGTAAATGAGCGTGAAGAGCAAGGGAGCGAAGACGCGCGCGCATTCGCCTCTACGTCTGCGGACATAGAAGTTGAAGGAACGCAGAGCAATACTGCTGCGCTGCCTAGTTTAATCTCTCGTGGCATGTCACCAAGACCACTTGTTCGCAAGAGAAGCAGTCTGTCAGGAGACGTGCCAAAGTCTGGGGTTGACGATATCCTTTCTTTGATAAAAATGTCAATGCCACAGGATCAAACGCGAAGAGCAGATGAGCTGGCGCAGAGGGAGCTGGATAAACTGGAGGAACGGCAGAATAGGGCGGAAGAGAGGAGGCGAAAGGAGCAAGATCGAGTTGATGAAATTGCTCGACGGGAGGAGGAGAGGTGGCGTCGTGAAGCTGAGTCCAGGCGGCATGAGCAATTTATGCAGATCATTCTGCTCAGCCTCACACAGTCCTCCCAAAAGCGATGTAAAGACGTGCCGGATACCGGTACCGAACCATAGCTGCAATGACAAGCAGACCCTGGCGATGGCACGTAGTAGGCAAACATCCGTAAACAGCCGAGAGAGAATCTCACTGATACCAGAAGTGCCAAATAGGCCACTTCGAACGCATCCAACTCAACAACCGTCTCCCGCTCTCTCTATGACTCACGAAGACGATAATCACGAGGCACGCTTCACGTACGTACTCAGGAGGTATGATTCCATTCTTGAGAACAAAGTATGCCCCCCCTGGCATTACTTTGCTGATTCAAGTGGAGGCTTCTTATCTTTCCGAAAGGAAATCAAAGTTCCAGTCATGAACTTCAGTCTATCTATAATGTAGCGATCCTGGGCTCGTGCGGAGTTTCCACTCACGATTATCATCCCATCAGTCCGAATGGAAAGGAGTCTGCCATAGAGACAGTGGCTCCGCTTACGTGGACTCGCCCCGCAAAGTTTTCCTTTCATCTAGTCCATCCCTCTTCACCTGTTGTCGTCAAAGCACTCTCTGCGGATGATCGTAATAACGCCGTTGCCAATGTTGGCAACGACGGAAGCCACCTATGTGAATGTCTCCCACCCCAACGCCAGTCCTGTCACTTTCTTTGTCGGCCCGGGCTCACGGGCCACCACAGTTGCTGGCGGCGTTGTTCCGTCTCAGCAGCAAAGACATGACATCGTGAAAGATACCACCCACAACTTCCGCGAGACCGTTAGCGATTGGGGCTTTCTGGAGTTTGCTCCCTTCAGTCTGCTGCATCTTTATCACTAATCTCTAAGCAACGACACATCACAAAAGAGTTCAATTGCGCTTGCACTCACCTCGGGGTGGATCCATGTCGAGGCGCAGTAACACCGCTCCGAAACGCCTCGCCAAATGGCAAAACAAATCTCCGTGATGCCGATGTGTTTAATGTGGATCACCGAGCATGCAAATGAGAACGATCTCAGGGGGCCGCACTTGACCTGAGAAAGATGTTCGCTTCCGCGCCAAGATGTGGCATGTAAGTAGACATAATTTGGTTGATACCCACCAGCCTTGTGCGAAAGTTGAAGAACAACACACTGCACAATAAAATGCTTTTCCTCTCGCCTCTTTCTTCGTAGAACATTCGGTCTTTCAATTGAGGGAAAGTCCCTTTTATTGCCCTCATTCCCCACTCTGATGCCTGCCGTGCTGATGTCGCCTGCCGTGCAGCGATCACCTCCTCTCGACCTTCCGAATTTGCCAGTGGGTCCTGACTCGACTTTATCAAAGAGGGGTGCTCTTCTCTTGAGAAAGCCGAGCCCACCACACACATTCCACCTGTTCTATGATAAACCGTTCGCAGCTTGGAGTATATGTTACCCCAATCTGCAATTTGGGAGTCGTGCATAGCACCAGGTGCATTTCCTGTACATGCAATTATAACCCCACTTGGGGCGAATACAAACACGTTACCAACGTAGTGGTCGTGTGTCCAGCCATTGTAGAACATATTCTGAATAACAGTGTCCCCTGCTTGCTCTAGATAGAGCTTTAGTCCGTCGGCAACAGCGTAAACATCCGAAAGCATAGAATATTTCGCCGCAAATGCTTCCTTGTAGGCTCTCACCTCTTCATCATTCGACATTCCGACCGCAGCGAGTGGGTCCATAGATAAAACCTTCATTAGAATCCTGCGACCAAACCTAACAAAGACAGAACAAACGGACGCGGTAACTCCAAACAGAAGACAAAGAACCATCTCTGATCCCTTGTGCGCCACCAAAAGAGCACTAAACCTAGACATTGCTGTAAAGTCAATGTTCGCGGCCGTCTGCGCCTTACATTGCGCAACGGCAATAAACGAATCACTCCGTTAGCAGTGTAAGGAGTGTACCTGTCGTACTGTTGTCTGAAGCGCGCCAAAAGATGTGAAAATGCTCTATGCTCAAGCCCCACGAGGGTGATCATCGACTGATCACACCCGGAACCAAACAGAAGGGCAAAGGGAGAAACAGAAGGGTGCTGAAGGGCTCTTCTCGTAATGCGACGGTCCCTTCGTCCTCGCCCTTGTGCTGTCAATTGTCTTCGAAATGCAGTTCTTTCGCCACTGGTTTGGCATTGAAGGAGCTGGAGCAAAAGGAGCGCGATGGTCGGGCTCCGCATGGCTATCGTAAGAGGTTTGATGGGTGTGGTGGCTGAGCACTGGGTCAGCGTGGTGTGTGATCAAATGCAGTATTGCTTTGAAATGATTGGAGGAGAATAGATTTCTGATCCAGCATGGTTTTTTATTTCTGCTACGTCGTAGTTTGTGTGTATGATTTTAGTGACCCCATAGCGTGACGTACACACAAAATGTGATTTGTGTATCAGTCACAAATTGTGATTTTCGGAATGACCCAGTGTCTCACTCGCAAGGGTGTGCAACGGGAGAGGGGTTTCGGCAAGGGTGGTGTGTTTCGGTACCACACCCCTGCCACCCTTCTCTTTTGCTCTCGACTTCAATTCTTCGACAAATATATTTTGGGATAATTTCTATATTCGCGCATTTTTCGTATTTGGCAGTGGTCCACTGTACGTACGGGGCGTATGAGCTGTTGTAACTGTGCTCACGGATCATAGCATCTTAAAAGTAGTTGTGATAGGCTTACTGTATCTGCATTTTAACGCACTTTCTCAACATAGAAAAGAGCACAACTCATGAAAGAGAGCGCGAGGGTTGGACAACATTGTATATCGCCACGAAGACCGATAGATCAGCATCTATCGTTTTTGCTGCTATCATCAGGTCAGAGTGTACCCAAACAGAAAATGTCATAGGCCTGCATCAACAGCATTGAGTGTCCGCATGAGTCTGTCGAATCTGCGGACCCCTTAGTTTCCGCTTTGCAAAAATCTCAATCACAAAATATTCCTACCAAAGCAGAAGCGCTGGTATAAGTTATCTCTCTTAGATAAATGTGGGGTTAACTATCCTGTCAGACTCCGGAGGCTTCTCAGAGAGCCGAGTATTGCCGTAGTGTCGAATGCTCTAGCCCTTGAGTACTCTGTTTTCTCCTAGGCCAACACTTGGAGCAATGCGTCTTGGATCAACGCTCTTGGGTGGTCCTTTCAAGCTTGCAGTGCATCTTTACAGAAGCTGTGTATTTGGTGCAAGCCTAATGAGTACGTACTATTCTAGCGGTTTGATCTCGTAACACGGTAACCGTAACGCGTAATGCCTTTTCTTGACGGTTACGCTCGAGTGCAATCGGCCGCGGAAAGCTAAACCTAGTCCAAATTTTATACTACTACCAGTCATCCTGCTGTATACAAACGCTCTGCCTTAATACTTTGAACTCACCATTTTCCGCTACCGTGTCAATTTTAGTACAATCGTTCTCGCATGTAAAAATGGCAATTGAAGCAAAATTCATGCCGGCTTCCGCTTGATGCCGCGGCACCGATTCTTCAGGTTTCAAGAAATGAAGACTTGAGCCGAGCAGCTGCAATTCAAACATCAAGGGCGCGCCGCACTCACAAGTTTCGTTTGTGTCAAGCTGTGGGGCCGGATGTGAAGGCCACAAGGGCTTGCCGCCAAGCTTGTAGCGCAGGATTTGGGAGGGGGCACGGGCTATTGTCTGTAGAAAGTCTTCCTGATTTCGTAGTCCAGCAGTCTCATTGTCATTCTCTTTTTCTGCTGTCCATTCCTCAAAAGTGCCAGTGGCTGCCCTCGAATGTTCTTCGTCCTTGTATTTTTGCAATAACGCATCAATTGAGGAATCCTCGACCAGCGGCGCAGCTTCCTGTGGCTCGTAGTCGACTTCGACGTAGTAAGAAGCGCAGGTTTCTCGATGAGACGGTGCATTAATTTCGGGGGCCGATGCAGAGATGGGGACAGAATGTAGGCTGCCTTCTTTACGGCCTGTGGCTTTTAACGCGTTCTGCGTTCCATGGCGGTCCCGCTTCAACGGCTTGGAAGGAGAGCGGCGACTAGACGGTTTGGCAGGCGTCCCTGACGCAGACGCTGCCTTTCTCGCTGTCGCCAGCTCCACCTCGAGTGATAGTAAACCCAAATCTTTGACTGAACCTCCCTCGTCAGACGAATTGTCAGAATCAGAGTCCGTATCCCACTGAATTTCCTCCTCCTCGGCAGAAACCTGAGCTACCCCAGCGCTGCCTTCCGCAAGCTCAATCGCTGGGCCCTTCTCCGCCTGTACACGACAAACACGTACAGCCCACCACGCCTGCACATTGGCTGAGCATTGTATCGAGTTGCACCCGAAGACACACACCAGCCGCTCCGGGTGGTTCCAGTGTGGCGCATAGGCTTGCAACACCAGCACACGCTTGGCGTCACACAGAGGGCAGTCAGGAATAGCTACTTCGAGAGCTGGGGGCCAGATGGGCAAGCCCCCGATGTGTGTATCGTACCATGAGGCGGAGGCGGAGTCGAAGGGTTGTTCCGAAGCAAAGCCGAGGATGTAGGGGTCGTTGGTCATCAGCTTCTGTAGGGGCCGCGGGGATGGGTGGGTGGTAGAAGATGGAAAAGAGATATAACTAATGCTGGAGTTGGTGCGATGTCTCCGCGCGATGTTATGGAGAGATGAGGGGGACCAAAGAGACGACCGCGGCTAACGTTAGTATCAACAGCATTAATTTGATGTATTTTTGCAAAAATATATTCTATCGGCATCGGACCTACGCAGATGAAGAACATGGCCAGGGAATGACGGGGCAACATAGAGTTAGAGAAGCATTGCACTCTTTTCTTCAAGCACGGTATAGCCAGCGTCATACCAGCAAAGCAGTGGGAGATTTGGACTTCCCGGCGTTCGCATGCATTCCCATTTTCTCCTTGTGATACTAGTTAAAATGCTTTGCTTTTACATTAGCCCTACATGCCAACGATCACCACTCTGTGTCCGGTCTGCCCCCGAGGACTTTGTCCGTATGCTTTTAAAAGCCGTACGCTCATGGCATGCAAACATCAATTTGGGTTGAACGTAGCCCGCTTATGCAAGTAGCTTAAACCTACGCATTATCTCTAGATGAGCGACTCTTATCTTTGTCAGAAAATCTTACAACTCTTACATCATGGCAGAGCTCCACTTGAAAGATAACCCTTTCCATTGTTGACACTCAATCTTCGAAATCTGGACTCATTTCATTCCTCCGCACGACGCACCTCACACCGGTAGTCCTGTTGTCTGCAAGCAGATGCATATTATGCAGCTCTTCTCTTGCCTCTATATTTTGCTCTCCGTATACAAGTGCATTTGTCCACACATATTCGATTGCTAAAAATTGTACATCCTGCGACATATGCCGTACGCGCCTAAGCTCAAGATCCGAGGATTTGAGGGTGTGCACCCCTGCCCATGAAATCCACAGATGGTGTTGCGTATCGCTAGGTGCGGAAAAATTCGACCTAGCTGTATCTAGTCCAAATATCGCACAGCTTAAGGTACTGTCACAACGCCAACTGCACTTTCTGTACATGCGTATCCGACTCGAAGTTACGTACATCTCTGGTTGTTCCTGCTTTGTTTGGTTGGAAACCCATAGAACAGATCCGTTTAGTGGGTGGGTTTTCAGATGAAGACTGGTACTTGTCAGCGATTTGAAGCGTGTCGGGAACTGTTCTATCTTTTCTCTTCCTTCATCGCATCATCTGATTGGTTCTACTGCCTCTTTTGCGTAGACTTTTGATGCTGGAGACGAAATTATTAAATCTGTAGGACCGAATTAAAGGCAAATATTAAATTTTATAAAATCTATACAAGAACTTTTTTTCTAGGCGAATGGATCTGCTCTGGTTGGTCCCAGAGTTGATTGGCCGCGGGTCAAGACAATATTACCAACTTCTTGTTAACGGTGCCTTCCTCCCCCTGCTCCGCTTTAAAGCTAAGACCGCGTCAAGCCCTCGGCTTTCTCCATCACGCTCAACTCCCTGGTCTTCCCGAAATTTGCACGCGGTTGCTTTGTGTCATTCCCTTCTGACGAACGGGCTTTCCGCGATTGTTTTCCAACAGCCTGCGAAACATGCACGCGTGTTTATTCCTGGCAGCCCTGCTTCTGTGCCTGGCAAGCGAGTCATCTGCCATCAGCTTTGATTTGCCACCAGGGAAGGAGGAATGCTTTTTCGAGGACGTTCACCAAGGGACAAACATCAACGGCGCCTACGTCGTCACGCGCGGAGGCTCGCATTTGGATATTGACGTCTCGATCTTTAATCCGGATTCGACGCAGGTCTACAATGCAAAGCGCGAAGGAGAGGACAAGTTTATGCTCAAGGCTGACAAAGACGGCATGTACAAGTTCTGCTTCAGCAATTCGGTAAGTGATGATGCTGTCCTTTGAGTTTCAGGGTGTGGCTTCCGCGTTAATTTCTGCGTGAGTTCTGACCAGAGCACTCGTCTTTTGTGTACCACGGCGGTTGTGACACTTCGCGTTCATTGAATCCACTGCCTTCAATCGCCTTTGTTTTGGATGTTTGTGGCGGGAGTAGATGAGTATGGTGTCGCACAAGACTGTAAAACTTGTGATTACGACAGGTGACCCTATCGATTTTTCCAAGCTGGCAAAGAAGGAAAGCATGGATGTCGTAGAGCGATGGATAGTGAGCATCTCGAAAACCGTTCGCATGATTGACTTCCATCAACAAGAATATAGAAACCTCCATGAGCGTCACTTGTTTGGTAAGTTCTTACCTTTGTTCCATGCCTTGCTATGACGAATGTTCTGCATCTCTGCGAAGTCTAACTGTTTTCTTTTGTTTGTCCCCTGCTCTGGTGCCTGTTCTGTAGCTGTGGCATCGACAAATCGCCGGGTCAAGTGGTGGTCGTTTTTGGAATGCGTTGCCGTTATGGTCGTGTCCGGTATTCAAGTCATGTTCATTAAGAGAATGTTTAACAAGAGCGCTCCCGGCATCAAACGCATGGTGTAGCGCCAATTACCATTAAACTTACTTGCATAAACTTTCTCCTAGAGTTAGTATCACTAAGGAGTTTGTTGTGCCAAAAGCGCATGGAATCTGGCTTCAACCGTTGTACAGTATCTTTATTTCGATTCGCAAGTTTGCTTTGCAAGACTGTTAGCTTTTTCTCGATAGTTTCGTAAGTTTCTTCGCGGGGGTAATCCTCTTTCCTGTGGCTGCCCGCTTAAACCGTTCGATCCCCCTCAATGGATTTCTTTTTGATATGGCCTTTCGAAGGGCCAGTCGATTCTCCTTTGCAGGTGGGTTCGACGGCTCTGACCCTGCTTTGCTTCTGGGACGGCTTTTAACTTCTGTTGAGTTACTTTGACGCGGGAAGAAGCGGCTCAGCCTAACCTGCTTCCCCCCAGCTGCGCTCGACGCTCCCTTTACTTGGCTTTCGTCGACCTTTCGCTTCATTGCTCGACTGTCATTCCGGGGGTTTTCATTTGGCGGCATTTCTCCATCGTCGCAATCCGAAAACCCGTTGTCATCTGGGCCTGGGCTGGGCGGTGGTGGAATTGAGTCAGGGACAAACTTTTCGCTCTTTTCATCTTTTGGATGGGTGGCAAACCTGGCCAATACTCGATTGACTGCCTGAACACGCGTGGAATCCGGCGCGCATACATCGTTGGATTCAATTTTCACTTCTTCGGTGACGGCAGTTCGTGGTCTTTTGTTCAAACGCCTGGGGGATGACTCCTTCTCATCTTCTGAACCGCTGGAACCCCTATTCTCTGGCGTTGCTGCCTCCGGAAATGTGAATTGGCTCTCCGGCGGCTCATCGGTATCCGCTTGTGTAGGAATCGGAGAGAGCTGTGGCCTTTTAAAGCTCGCCCATATGTCGCCAGACTGATTCGCGGTAAATCTCGGGTTCTGCGTTTGAGACGACTTATTGGCTGCTTTGAAACCAGCAGCAATCCGTCTCGGATTAAACGTTCGAGATCCTCTGGTAAGCCTTTGCCGCAAGTTGGTGGCCAAGGAAAATCCACCGGGAGAAGAGGATGACTTGGCCGGTTGCACCTGGAATCCGCGGATGTCCATTGCCACCCTTTTCGGAGTAGAACGTATCTGATTTTCCGGCGTATATGACTGAGGCCTTCTCCTCTGGCCGAGTGGGCGCTGGACAACATCTAGAGGATCGTCATACTCTTTTAGAGACCCGGGATGGAGGTACCCTTGGGCAATTTTCTTGGCTATTGCAGGGTCGCGATGGGCGCCCAAGAAAGACCAATCAATCGTTTCGCCCTCAGTTTCCACTAATACACCTGGCGGGATCTTGGCCTTGGCGATTGCATCCAGCTCTCGCAACGGAACTGTCTTCGATTCCCGAAGATCAAAAACCGTTTGGTGGCGAAACACCATACAGGCTCTGGCAAAATCCTCCGTAAATGAGCGCTTTACGATGAAGCGACGATCATGACGAATAGCGTGGATGAGGCGACCCATTGTGCGATACTTTTTTACCATGGTATGGGCCTTCTTCATGCCAAGCCCGTTGACACCCTTGAAGAAATCACAGCCCGAACAAACGCACATGTACAAAAACATATCGTCGGAAAAATTAAGCATCGAGATGGAATCCAGAGCTGGGAGATTTTTCGTCTGATACAAATCGCCATCGCCTGTCTTGGTCATTTTATATAATACCTTGCTCGCGCCATAAACAAGCAAGTCCGAATCCTCGGTGATAACGCTCTGAACATAGCCGGACTGCATCATCCACGCCAGCTGGGCATCGGCCTCATACGGTGCGACGACGTACTCAACATTCATCCTCCTGAGCTGTCGAATGACCTGTCTTGCCATTTGCGGCGTGACCGGGCACGCCTTCTGGTACCAATCCTCCGCGGCGCGCGAGTTGCCCTTAGCGGCTGCGGCCTCCGCCTTAGCGAGTGCATCTGCACGACGTTCGCGGCGCTCGGCGTGCGTGTCGGCTTTCATGGGGAGCGCGGCGCCGTCGAAGACGATGACGGGGGTGGCGCCGAAATGGATGAGCATGCGGACGCGGTGCATGCAGTACTCGACGTAGAGGTCCGTGTCCACGCCGCGGCATAGCTTCGACGCGCACGTGTAGACGCCGCGGTGCAGCCAGCCGTACACGTCGACGCCGACGCGCGTGCGCGCAAACTCCTTCACATGCTTCTGCTCGCTGGCGGCCGACAGACCGGGGAAGTAAAGAGGGACGGGGCTCGCTCAGGAGGGGTCAATATGGCCGGGTTCTGGAGACGGGGCGGGGAGGGAGGCGAGGTGGAGTGCTTACCGAATCGACTTGAGAATCGGCAGGAGCCCGTTTATACCCATGCTTTTCCTCTGCTGAGGTGGCTGGCGTTGTCACGCCGATGCAGCGGCGGCGACAGGATGGGTGGTACGGGGGAGTTGCGCGTGGGGCGGCTCATGGAGTGGCTTTGACAAGTGAATAGTTTGGCCGGCGTTGATGGCGGAAGAACTCCCCATTTCGATTCACAGGCAGGCTTATGTGAGGCTTCTGGGTGGGATTGCTGTTGTGATTGTGATCGTGAAGAGGACATTTTTGGCGCCAGTTCCCTTCTGTAAACCGCTGTCAACAGAAGTGCTCTCACCTCGTGGACACGTTGCCACGAATTCTAATCATATGTGTGCCAGAGGAGAGCCTCAAGTGCAACTATCATACACAAGACATAGAGCCAATTCACATCCGCCAAGTGGAAGGTCAACGGCAGCCTTGAGAAGCCCGGTTTGTGGACATCATTTGCTTGCAATTTTGCACCTCCAACCCCCCTGATCCCAAAGGCAAAGTTTCAATACAACCCGCACCGCGCCCTCCATCCCAACTCGCTTTTCTGTTTACCTGGTCAAGTAGCTAACGAGCATTTCGAGAAACAGCTCGACGCTATGGCCTTCATCTCAGTGAGCGCGTTCGTCCCAAGAAGCCCCCAACTCACGCACGCAGGCCCCGTCTGCACGAGGCCCGTGCACCATGCGCACGCGGCGGTGCGCATGCAGGCGCCACTAGGAGGTCAGGGGAAGAAGCAGTCGAGAAGCCGCAAGTTCCGTCCAGGCGCGGGGGGAAAGGGCGCCAAGGCAGAGAAGGTAAAGCTGGAACCGGAGACCGTGTTCTTGGAAACGGGGCCCAGCAATATGGAACTCATCGTGCCTACGCTCTCCATCCTCACCGTCATCGGAATCATCCCGTTTGTCGCCGCAGTGTCGCGCGCCGCGTGGGTGCGCTACAAGTTTACTAGCAGGCGCATTTCCGTTAGCAGCGGCTTTCGGGGAAAGGATCAGACAGAGGTGATATATAGGGACATTGATTTGGTCAAGTATGTGCGCAGGTTAGGCGGGGCGGCAGACTGTGTGCTCACTTTGCGGGATGGCGCCAAGTTGGAGCTAAGAGCTGTGCCAGAGTTTGAAAAGATTTATAACTTTCTCATGGAGAAGGTCAGCGAAGAAACAAAGGAAGCGAGTGGCCCAGCATGATCCTCAGAGCTGCGTGCCCGCCAGGAAACGCTCGGTCTGCAAAGACGATATTGCATCGTTTGAGGACACAGGTTTACTTCTTATTCATTACACGGCGGAATGTAAAACCCACGCCGCTTTACTTTTTTCATCCGTACAGGTGGCCGCCCGCATATCTTCTTCCAAAATACAGAGCAGGTTAAACCATACGTGACAGAAATCATACACAGGTCTCGCAAGCGACGTACACAAAATGAGATCAAAAATCGTCGAACGGGTTTGTCGAGCCGGCTCCGGCGCTTGCGCTGGGTCCAAAAGGATTTGCTGGGGCACCGCCCGCCGCCCCATTCATCGCCGACGAGCCAGCCATCCCGCCCATCCCTCCGCTAGCGACACCAACACCCCCATTCATTGAACCCATCCCGCCTCCCATTCCTGACATGCCGCCCATCGCTCCCATGCCACCCATTCCAGGCATAGCACCGTTCATTGCGCCCGTTCCTGGCATACCGCCATTCATTGCACCCATTCCCATTCCCATTCCCATGCCCGCCATGCCATTCATCGCTCCGCCGCTCGGCGGGTTGTCGCTGATGTTGAGAGTTTGGATCGGGCCTAGGGCATTGAGCACGTCATCATCACCAGCGCCATTAGCCCTTGCCATATTCGCCTCAGCACTCGGCGGCGCAGGGAGCGCAAGCGGGGCGCCCTGGGAAACTGCAGAGCTCGATGCCTCGCCAAAACCGGACCCCATTCCAGGACCCATGCCCATGCCGTTCGGCATGCCTCCCATCATACCCATTCCGCCGCCCATCCCTCCTTGCATGCCCTGCATTCCGCCCATGGCTCCCATGCCGCCCATGCCGTTCACGGCGCCCATACCATTCATGCCGCCCATGGCACCTCCCATACCGCCACCCATGCCACCATGCATCATTTGGGCGGCCATAGCCGGCGGCATAAGTCCCTGCGGCGTCATAACCGCGGGTCCCATGGGCGTCTGAATGACATTTCCAAAGCCACCGCCGCCCATACCCATACTCGCAGATCCAGCGCCCGCCGACTGGTTCTGATGAATCAAGTCGTCAATAGAGCCCGCAAAGGCCGGGGCGGAGCGACTCGAAGTTTTCTTCTTATCCTTCTTCTTACTCTTCTTCCTCTTGGAGCTCTTCTTCTTCCTTCTATCATCCTCTTCACTCTCAGTTTCGCTGTCAGTCTCATCATCGGTATCCTCCTCTGTCTCAGACTCGGTCTCTGATTCAACATACTTGCTCTTCTGTGACTTTTTCTTGCTCGACTTCTTCTTCTTCTTCTTCTTCTTCTTCCTTTCCTCACGGCGGCGGCGATGATCGTCCTCCTCCTCGTCGACTTCGTCGTCACGATATCTCGAAGGTCTCCGGGCACGGTCCGAGCGAGCATCGCGACCATGGTCGCGGTCGTAGGCATAATCGCGGTCACGCACATCCCTATCGCGATGGCGGTCGACATCATAATCCCTCTCACGCAACGGACGCACAGGGGCACGGTCATGGTCTCTATCCCTGCGATCTCTATAATCCCTGTCCCTGTCCCTGTCCCTGTCCCTGTCCCTGTCCCTGTCCCTGTCCCTGTCCCTGTCTCTATCCCTGTCTCTTGGCCTATCATCCCTCTCTCTGTCTCTGTCCCTGTCCCTCTCTCTTCCCCTATCCTCCCTCCTACTAGCTGTGGCAGGGGCCAAGCTCTTCGCGGCCCAGCTGCCGTCATACTTGAGCCAGATAAACTCTCTGATAGTTTCCTTATCGCCGGGCTGGGGCTCCGGGTAGTCCTTGGGGCTCCACCTCGCCATCCACCTCCTCCTCGCCAAGTCGTTGCCGCGGTCCTCCATGCGGTAGGCGTCGTCCATAGAGAAGGTGGCCGAGTCGATGTTGCGCACGCCCTTGCGCGACGCGTCGCGGTGGATGCCCGCGCACAGCGGGCACACAAACGTGCCCAACGCAAGCACGACGTGGTTGGGCGACGAAGCGCCGCAGTCGGCGCAGTAGCGGTTCCCGCCCGCGCGCGACAGCTGCCGTAGCTTGCGCTCCGCGTCCTCCGCTTCGCGCGGGCTCACGCGCCGAGCCATGGTGGAGGGGGCTGGGGGGGGTTGGGGAGAGGGGGGGGGGGATGGTAGTTAGGTGTGCGCCGGAGTGTGCGCGCCGGATGAGGGGAGCGCGAAGGGGGTGTGTACGGTGTGGCACGGACGGGGGGGGCCGCGGGGGGTGGGAAAAGTGGAGGGTAATAGACTGAGGGGCGGGGCGAGGCTGCCGCGGTGTGCGGGGCGGGACAGGTGGACGCGCGGAGGATTGGTGGCCGTGCGAAGGCGCGCGCGGGGCGCTCGGGCCGGTGTCACGAGGATGCGGCCCGGGGTCATGGGGATGCGGCCCGAATGCCCGAATGGGGCGCGGCGCCCCGCCCCACTCGGGCCTGTGAGGGATTCGTCGATGCATCGAGGCTGTAGAAATTAGCAGCCTTCGTACTGTATGCACTTCAAAAAGGCAAAGGTGTAAAATAGCGAGGGGCCAATCAAAGCTCGCGAAGTTCCTCAAGAATTTAGCACTTTACACTCACGCACTCCAACAACGTCGCAGCTACGCAATATGGTCTACAGTGTACTGTACTGTGGCCACCTCCATCCTCGTCCGCAAGCCGGTTCATGCGGCAGACGTTGTCTGCTCACTACACGTGTAAGCGTGAAATCTACGGCATGCGTCAGGATACTCAATGCCTCTATCTATGATGCCCTGTGATTTCATGACTCAACAGTGGGATGCTCTGAGGGCACTACGGTAAGGTATATGCACTTGCCTGTTTTTATCTGCCCTCATGTCCGAGGCCCTCTCTCGAACAGCGGGAGAGGAGGAAGGAGACAGACGGAGTAGTGTAGTGTTCAACGTCCCGCTGGTGAAGTGGCTCGATCACACGCGCTCCCGCCATTGCGAGACATCAACTCGGTCGAAGGGCTGGCCAACATTAAATTCTCTTCATTTTTCCCATCTCACCCGCGCATTTGGCCGTCGGGACGCACGGCCGTCAGGACATGAAATTCTCTTCACCGGCGTATTTCTGTCAAATATCACACATGCACCTGGACGCAGGGCCGTCGGGACGCAGAAACGCGGACGCAGGCGCGCGCGTTTTTTTTTTTTTTGTTCTCTCGATTCAGTTGGTTACAGCGTTGCAGTCAGCCACTTGGCGCAGCCGCACCGTCCTACAGCGACGCCATTACACCGCCCCGCACTCGCCGTACCGCGCAACTAGTGCAACGTCATCATGCGCTTGCGGAACTCCTTGATCCCGACCTTCTTCACAAACTCGATCTCAGCCACGCGCGCGGAGCAGATCTCGTGCACCATCTCCTTCGTGAACACCCTCTCCAGCCGGCCGCCCTGCGCGGCCTCCTCGAACTCCACCACGCTCTCCTCCAGCGTCCCCGGCAGCCGCTTCACCTCGGCCTGCACCGTGTGCGGGTCCACCTGGCACGCCTCCGGCAGCTCCATCCCCGCCTCCACGCCCTGCAGCCCGGCTAGCAGCAGCCCGGCCATCGCCAGGTCCACGTTGCTCACGCTATCCAGCGCCTTCACCTCGACGTTGCTCCGGTCCTCCGCCAGCCGCAGCGCCGCCTCCTTATTGTCCACGCCCCACACCTGGTACGCCCCCGCCCAGTACATGGGCAACATCCGCAGGTAGCTCAGGCAGCTGCCGTTGGTCACACACATCGCCCAAGGCAGCCCCGCCAGAATCCCCGCCATCCACTGCTGCCCCGTCTCGGAAACCCCGCCGCACTTCCCCCCCTCCCCGCCACCCACCCCAAAGTGCCCGTCCAAACTTAGATGCACGTGGCATCCACTGCCGCCCAACCCATCCCCGAAGTTAGGCACGAACGACGTCACCAGCCCGTGCTTCCTCGCCACCGCCTTGATCCCCATCCGCGCCAGCGTCACGTCCTGCACGGCCTGCAGCACCGCCTTGTGCCTTAGCACCACCTCGTACTGCCCGGTGCTCGCCTCCGCATGCACCATTGCCACTTCAACGCCCATCTGTTCCAAGCACACCGTGACGTCGTCCAGAAACCCCCCCGCCATGTCCATCTGGTCGAACAGCGCGTAGCTGGTCCCGCGTCCGTACGGTGTCAGTTGCGTCGCATTCGACCCGTCCTGTGTGAACAGCGCAAACTCCAGCTCAAAGCCGGCCTGCACGAACAGGCCCTTCGCGGCGAGCAGATCCACCGCCCGCAGCAGCGCGCCCTTCGGGCAGTGCTCCCACGCCTCGCCGTCCGCGCCGCGCATCTTGCTGAGTACCACCTCGTGGTTTGGGTGCCAGGGCAGCGCCACGCGGTCGCGCACGCGCGCCGTCAGCGCCTCGTAGGCGGCCGAGACGGCCTTGTGCAGCGGGTGGCTCATAGGGATTAGCGTCGCTGATCCGGCCGGCGTGATGCGGCTGGACGAAGGCATGTCGAGCCACGGCATGAGGACCATGCACGCGCGCGCCATCGGCACGCCGTCGTCCGAGATTCGCCTGGGCACCGTCTTGCACCGCACGATGCCGCAGTAGTCAGTCTGAACGGTTGGGGCTTCGGTTAGGTTGGTGTTCGATGGGGGGGATGGTTAATGGGTGCTGAATTGGTGTACACGGCGAGATGTACGTACCCATACAAAACGGGTCCATTCCCGGGCGGAGGCGGTTGTGGAGACCTTGTTGGTTTCGGTCATCGTGGGGGGGCTGTTCGAAAATTGGGCAAGCTGTTAATGTGGGATGGTTGGACAAGGGGGTTGGTGCAGCTCAGTGATACTCTCTCTCCCTCTCTCTCTCTATACGCAGAGAGAAGAGGAACCGAAGAGGAATGACTCTGCAATATTGCAATTCCACATTCACACGTGCTCCGCCGCCGACACTAAGCCACCTCGAGGCCATCTCGAGGGCACCTCGAGGGTGGCCTTGTGGATAGGGAATAAAGCAGACTTACCGTGTCGTGCATCCAAAAGACCGAGTTAATGTGAATAATGCAGGTTTCCCAATAGTGCGGCTGCAGCTCCCAAATTGGCCCCCACTGCAAGTTGTACTGAAAGCTGCCATCTTTTGAAGAAAATCTTGCCGCTCGCACTATTCACAACAGCGAAGCGTTGGGTCTTTAACAGACCTGTTCGGAGCGGCCCCGCACACACAACGTTACAAATGGGCCGTTCCAGACGGGCCCTTCCAGACGGGCCCTTCCAATCGGGCCCTTCCAATCGGGCCCTTCCAAACATCAAAGATTCGCGACTTCCCTTGTCTGTTGTGTGACGACGCCTCCTCGCTCAACTGAATTCCAGATCTCGAAGAAACCAGATCACACATTCCCAATCCAATTTCGGTCCACCTTTGCTCCGATGTAAGCTCACTGTAATTTCAGCCCGACGCCGCATGCTCCGCGATCAACTTTCGTCACGTCGCCATCGTCGTCGGCACCCGCATTGAATCTCTTCTAACCTTCCAAACACGCGCAGACTAACACAACTCGCGTCCCATTCAAGTCCATCACTGACATCCTCGTCGACAGACCAGGCCGGTCAATCCCCATCCAAACGCCACCCCCTCCACGATGTTCCAGGGTACGATTCTCGTCGACGGCAAAGGCCACTTGATCGGCCGCCTCGCCTCGGTGATCGCGAAGGAGCTGCTGAACGGGCAGGAAGTCGTCGTGCTTCGATGCGAAGAGATCGAAATCTCGGGCACGCGCCACCGCAACCGGAAGAACTTTCAAAGCTACCTGCAAAAGCGCACCAACACCAACCCCAAGTGGGGACCCTTCCACCACCGCGCGCCGCGCATGATCCTCACCAAGTCCGTGCGCGGCATGCTCCCGCGCAAGACCAAGCGCGGCGAGGAGGCCATGGCCCGCTTCAAAGCCTTCGAGGGCGTGCCGCCCGCCTACGCCAAGACGAAGAGGATGGTCGTCCCGGCCGCGCTTCGTGTCACCCATTTGCGTCCCAGTGCCAAGTACACTAACATTGGAAAGCTCGCAGGCGAGATGGGATGGAAGTATGGGAGCCTCATTCGCAAGATGGAGGAACAGCGTAAGGTTGAGAGCGCTGCGGATTACGAAAAGAGAAAGGCATTGGCCAAGCTTAAGGTCCAAGCTATCGCTAGTGTTGATCTTTCGGCAGAGAACCAGGTCCTTGCACCAGCCGGGTATTAGACGCGCAATCGTTAAAGTAATGTCTCTTGATTAAAGCTTTTCGTCGCGCTGTTCATACACCACCTTCGACTTCCGTGTCATTGAGCAGCTGGTTTCGAACTCGTACCACAGATCACGCCTTCGGCTTTCAATTCCCAAACGCATGCGGTTAGGAACCCTTCTGCTGCCCAAACGCAAAAAAACTAACCTTCGGTACCACACCGCAACAGTCCGTGAAGCGCAGGAGAAGATGTGGTTGACTTTACACACCGAGACTATTCGGACACTACAACTAAAAAAAGCGCCTAGATCGTCGAAGTTCAACACCACTTGCAAGTTGGTGAAAACCCAGACCTTACATGCGTCCAGAGTAGCCAGCTACTGCTCTTCTATTAGATTCAGAACAGTGACTTCATAGAATCACGCTCTGCATACATGACCATGCTGGACAAGGGCAAGGCCCTCATGCAACCGTTGAACAGCACATAGCACACCAACGCGCAAGCGCGCGACGAGGGCCGAACAGAGACCCACAAGTGAGGAAAGAAGTGTCGAATGCGGTAGACGACTGCCAAGAGCCCGTGCAGTGAAAGAAAAAAGGGCTCGAGAAGCAAGCCGCCAACCGCACGTTTGCCCTTGACCGCCCTCGACAACCCCGCCGACTTCCAGCCGGCGCCGCGCCCGTGTACACGAAACGACGGGCGTGGGCATGGCAAAAGCCCGTGACATGGCTGTAACCCCGTTCGGAAGAGACATACGAGGACCTTGAGAGCACGGCTGCACCCTAGCACTAGCGCGCAACAAAAACGCCGGGTGCCACCGTGCCAACGCTCTTCTTTTCGCGCAGACTTTTCCCTCCTCCCTTCCCTCCCCCCCGCCGCTTCCCAGGTGGACCCCCCACTCCCACCCCCCGCGCGCGATTCCCCTCTCCGTGCAGCCCTTCGGCGGGCATTCATCGATAGGCACTGAAGGCAGGTAGGATTGTTTTTCGAGTCTCTCTGGGTCAGCAGCTAGGATACTAGGCTAACTGAGATAGGTAAAATCCCTCCCCCTCATTTGTCTAGACACATAATCCTCATTAAAAGTAGTAAAGTCGCGAAACTGTTCTCTAAGCCGGTCATTCAGCGTTGCCGTGAACTCCTCGTTCAGCTTGGCCTCTCTTTCTGCAAGGACCGAGGTAATAATGTCGCGAAGATCCTCGACCGTGAAGACCTTGTCCGCGACGCCGACTTGGCCGGAGCCCATACGGTCGACGACACGTTTCAGACGGCGCGGCACATGACGCGAGAGCGCGGCAAGCTCGTCAGCGGAGAGACGGGGAGTGGACGGCGGGGGGGAGGAGGCGGGGGATGGCGGCTTGGCTTGCGACGACGAGGTCGACGACGGACGGACGGCGGGCAACACGAGGGCGGGGGCCGCGGCCGAAGGGTTGCAACGGCCGCGTTTCAGCGGCGGCGGGCGCACGACAAAGCGCGCCGGCGAGCAGCTCTGCGACGGGCCCGGCAAGTCGACGTTCATCTCGTCGAAGTGGCGCTTGCGAGGCTTGAGGGTGGCGACGCCCGACATGGCGGCAATAGCGGCGGAGGGCGCGGTGCGCTCGGAACGGCGCTCGCGGCGGAGCGGGAAGCGGGCGGCGTAGACGAAGCACGAAGCACGAAGCGACGGGAGGGTAAGGGTGATAGCGGGGTAAGGGGGGGGCGGGGGTGACCT